TAGCCAGCTACCAATGTAGCTAGCTAGCTAGCTAGCCAGCTGTCAATCTAGCTAGCTAGCTAGCTACCCTACGCTCCCAGCTAGCTAGCTAGCTAGCTTGCGAGCTATCTACCTAGCTATCTATCGCCCCAGCGAGCCAGCCACCTCGCCAGCTAGCTAGCTGGCTAGCTAGCTAGCTAGCCAACTACGCATCGCCCTGGTGAGCTAGCTAGCTGGATTTTTTCCTCACCTCCGCCCCAAGTCTTTCCCCACACTCTGCTGCTACTCGAGCAGCAACAGCCATCGCAGCAAGCCTTCGGGGCTGCGTGCATGCAACCATTCCAGCTTTTGCATATCCCACTTCGCGCAGAAACTGCGGCAGCTGCGTCGTCTTGCCGGAGCCGGTGGCGCCCACCACCACCAGCACGCGGTGCTGCGCCACGGCCCGCAGGAAGGCCTCGCGGTAGGCGTAGACCGGCAGCAAACGCCGCTGCTCCTGCAGCAGCAGCAGCAGCAGCAGCAGCAGCAGCAGCGGCAGCGGCGGCGGAGAAGGCGAGGTGCTTGGAGGCGCGAAAAAATGCACCAAAATCCATCCGCGGGCGACACATATTCGCTAAATGCCGCACTGCAGCAGCAGCAGCAGCAGCAGCAGCAGCAGCAGCAGCAGCAGCAGCAGCAGCAGCAGCAGCAGCAACAGTAGCGGGAGCAGTTTGCGTGTACTGACTTGGAGGGAGATGGCCTTGGTTTGGCTGGCCTCGCGCTGCTGCTCCAGCTGCTGCAGCATTTGCTGCTGCTGCTGCTGCTGCGGGGAAAGTTCTTTGTTGAAGTCGAGTCCGTGGGTTTCTCTGACTTCAAATTCGATCTCAACTCCAGTTTCGTCGACAAGTTTGTAAGTCTTTTGCTGCTGCTCGCTGCTGCTGCTGCTGCTGCTGCGGTCCCTGGCGCCGAAGCGGACGAGGGCGGCGCGGGTCTTCTGCTGCTCGAGGAGCTGCTGCTCGGAGAGCTGCTGCTGCTGCTGCTGCTGCTGCGTCTCGCGGAAAGTTTGCTGCAGCAGCAGCAGCCGGGCCTGCAGACTTTCTTCTGCTTCCGGCAGCAAATAAAGTTCTGTCTCCGAATTGTTTTTGCGGTCTTCAACTGCTGCTTTGGCGAGCAGCAGCGCGTCTTTGCGCAGCTGCAGCTGCTGCTGCTCCGCGGCGCTCAGCTGCTGCTGCTGCTGCTGCTGCAGCTGCGCGTAGAACGCCTCCCTGTCCCGCACTTTTCGCTCCTGCAGCAGCAGCTGCTGCTCTTCTCTTTTTTTCAAATAAGATCTTCTTGCTTCTTCCCGCAGCCGCAGCACGTAAGCTTTGCTGCAGCGCAGCAGCTCGTTGGGTTTCTTTTTTGCTTCCAGCAGCAGCTCTTCCACGCTCTCCAGCGCAGCAGCAGCAGCAGCGGCGTCCCCCTGCTGCTGCTGCTGCTGCTGCTGCTGCCGCTCAAGCGCTGCAGCGTGGCCCACCTTCCGCTGCGACGCCATGTCCCGCGCTGCCAGACGAGCAGCAAATGCTGCTGCTTCTGCTGCGTCATCGTCCTCTGCTGCTGCTCCTGCTGCTGCTGCTGCTGCTGCTGCTGCTGCGGCAGAGACACAGGCAAACGCAGGCACGCAGCAGACGCACTCAACTCACAAACAGAAATGCTAGGCATGATCAGGTATCCAGGACTGCGGCTGCTGCTGCTGCTGCTGCTGCTGATGCTGCTGCTGCTGCTGCTGCTGCTGCTTACGTTCTGTCTCATCTTCTCGTTGTCTCTTTCTGCTGCCGCTTTGCGGCTCGTCAGCCTCCTGCTGATCCTCATCATCTGCTGCTGCAGCAGCAGCAGCAGCAGCAGCAGCTTCTGCTGCTGCAACAACAGCAGCAACAAGAGAGCGAGTAGCAGCACCAACTCGCCGCTGCAGCTCCTCCCGCAGCCACGGGGTCACTTCTGAGAACGACATTAGGGTTTAGGGTTTAGGGTTTAGGGTTTAGGGTTTGGGAGCCGGGACTTCCCGCGGCTGGGGGAGCCCGGCAGTGGGGCTTTGCCGCAGGGGTTAAGGCCAAGGTGTCGAGGGTTTAGGGTTTAGGGTTTAGGGTTCAGGGTTTAGCCCTTGGCCCTGAAAACCCTAACTGGAGCGGGGGCTCCAGAAGCAGGCGAGCTGCGGCCTCGCCAAACCCTTAATTAGGGTTTGCGGGGGAGGCCGGCCCCAGTGACATTTATTTAATTTAAATAAATTTAATTTAATTAATTATTTAATTTAATTTAATTTAATTTAATTTATTCTTGGGGGCCCTTTACCCCAAATTGCAAACAAAGTTCGAAACGCATGCAGGGGGCCCCCGGGGCCCCCTGAGGGGCCCCCGGGGGCCCCTGGTGTTGAGGTTTCCAAACAACTGTTAGAGGTGGCAGTAGGGTTTAGGGTTTAGGGTTTAGGGTTTATGGTTTGGCTGTTATGGTTTGTAGCTTGGCTTTGGCTGCAGCTTTAGAGCTTCGCGCCCTGGGGCTGGGGCCTAGGGTTTAGGGTTTAGGGTTTAGGGTTTAGAACTTCGCGCATTGCTTTGGCCTCTCTTTCAACTACAGAGTTACTTTTTAGGGCTTAATGCTCAACCTCGAGGGTTTAGGGTTTAGGGTTTAGGGCTTAGGGTTTAGGGTTTAGGGTTTGGGGTCTCGCACTGCGGGCGCCAAAACCTATCAAGAAGTTGCCAATAAATATAACGAACAACTAAACAACAACTAAATAAATAAATAAATAAATAAATAAATAATAAATAAATAAATGAATAACAAATAAATTAAATAAATGCCATTTCCGCAGCAACTTTCAGCTTTTTGGTCTTTGGATTCTTTTGGCAATTCTTCAAAACCGAATGAAAATGATTATTTTGAATTTAATCTTAAACTCTATTTTAATTTATTTTCATTTTATTTATTTTCATTTTAATTTATTTTTTAAAATTAACTTTTTATTTTCTACTTTTTAAATTTCCTGAGGGTCTGAGGTGTACATAACCGCGTGCATGCGCAGACACCCGAAAAAGGCTTCTCAAGAAAATCCAAAAAGCCAAAAATAAAAATTAAAAAAACGCATGCGGCCCCCAAACATTGTTGCATGCATGCGGGGAATCAAGGGAAGCAAATTAAAGAAAATTCGCCGATTTTAAAGGACCTTTTGGGTCCAATTTGCTGCTGCTTTCGAGGCCATTGGCTGCGCTGCAGCAGCAACTGCAGCATCTGCTACGCTGCAGCGCAGCAGCTGCTGCGGCAGCACACAGCTACCCGTGCATAGCTGCAGCTAGCTGCAGCGGCAGTAGCAGCAGCAGCGGCTGCAGCAGCTGCAGCAGCCTCCGCTAGTCGGTAGCTAGCTAATGCTGCAATCGCAGCTAAGTGTGGCTAGCTGCAGCGGCAGCAGCAGCAGCAGCAGCAGCAGCAGCTAGCCACAGAGGCTGCGCGTGGCTGGGGGATAGCAGCAGCAGCACTTTGCTCCTGCAGCGAACTGAGGAGCTTCTTCCAAACACTAACAGATTCCATGTTCTAAATCCTAAACCCTTAACCCCAAACCCTAAACCCTAAACCCTCGCGCTGCTGCAGGGTTTTCTTATCGATTAGGGTTTACACTAGGGTTTCCACCAGCTGCAGAGACACAAGACGAAACACCTCCACGCCTTCACGAGAGCAGCAGCATGAGTAGCAGCAGCAGCAGCAACAGAAGGAGCAGCAACAGCACGAGAAGCAGAAGCAGGAGCAGGAGCAGCAGAAGCAGCAGCAGCAGCACAAGCAGTAGAGGCAGCAGCAACGGCACGAGTACCAGCAGCAGCAGCAAGAACAGCAGCAGCACCAGCAGCAAGAGCAGCAGAAGACGGAGCAGCAGCGGAAGCAGCACGATCAGCAGCAGCAGCTGCAGCAGCAGCTAAAGCGCTCCCTTTGGAGAAGCATGTGGCCCTTGAGGGCGCTTTTTGCATGCGGCCTTTATAAAAACGGAAAAGACATTTTAATGAAAATTAATTTTAAAAAATAAATTGGTTTGAAATGGATTTTGAAGAATTTAAAAAAGAATCAAGGTGAGCTTTTGCATTTATATTTGTTCAAAAAGAAATGCAAATGAGGCAGCAGCAGCTTCTTCTAGCTGCTGCTGCTGCTGTGCTTGAAAATGACGGCAGCTAGCTGCTGCAGCTGCTGCAGCTAGCCAGCTAGCCACAGCTGCGCAGCTAGCCACAGCTACCCCGCTAGCCACCGCGAGCCAGCTAGCTACAGCTAGCCAGCCGCAGCGCCCGGCTAGGTACCTCGCCAGCTAGCTAGCTAGCTTGCTAGCTAGCCATAGCGGGCTGGCTTGGGAGCTGGCTAGCTATAGCTGGCCACAGCTAGCTGGGGCGTCTCTGGCGCTTCTGCTTCTGGTACTGCGGCCAAATAAAATGAATAAATAAATAAAAAGGATCTGCGTTTAATTGGAATCCTTAATTGCTTGAAAAAGGCCAAAAGAAGCAGCAGAAGGGAGCCTGGGGCTGCATGCGGGAGGCGTCTGGGGGGCCCCCCGAGGCCCCCTGAGAGTCGGCAGCGGAGTAGAAGTGTTTGGGATTTTATTTTTGAAAAATATTCTTTAAAATGGATTAAATGAAAAGGGAGCTTTTTGTTTTTGCGAGAAAGTGCGAAGAGAGCTGCAGGTACACCCGAGCACCACCGCCAGCACCATGGAGGCGCTGCGGCGGCTGGGGAGAGTTCCTTGGTGAGTGTCTGCCGTTTAAATGCCATTATTTTCATTTTAAATATATTAATTAATTAAATTGGACCCCAAAAGTCTTTTACTCCTCGATTTCACCGGCGGTTTCGGCGCATGCGCCGAAAGGCGCGCTCCCGGGGTGTATGTACACCTCAACAACGCGAACTTCTGCTGCAGCAGCAGCAGCACTGCGCGGCGCACAGCGCGAAAAGAGCGATTTAAAGGAGGAAAATAAGAACAAAAAAGACAAAAAGAGCAGCAGGGAGAACAAAAAGGGGTTTAGTTGTACTTAATTCGCTACTCTA